CATCTTGACCGAACAAGCTTGGTCAATAAAGGATTTATTATATGGCTTTCGGGGAAATTTTTCTTGTGGGACACGGCGGGTAGTCCCGGGCGGGCAAGATAACTCCATCTTGCCCGCTCGGGTAGCCAATCACAGCGCAGGATTTGATTCATCTTGCCAGCTCACAGAGCTGGCCATATAATAAACTTAACTCTCACAGTGCCTCTGTCCACCCAGGTGTATAAATGGGTACCATCGAATTTGATGCTGGGGATAATCCAGTGATGGACTGGCATCCCATCCAGGAGGAGTAGAAGCACAGTCGAACCTTCATTAACGTCCACTTCCCTACAACGGTCACCTCTCTACAACGGCCAGTTTTTTTCGTCCCGGCTGATGGTCCATACATTTACACTTATTTTAACCTCTCTACAATGGCCACTTAACTACAACGGCAACGGCCACTAAAGCGCGTCCCAAACTACCAAAATAACCTCTCCACAACGGCCAATTAATCAACGACCGACGAATGGTGTTTACCAAACCTCGTGTTATTTTGTAAAAGGTCCCGAAACTTGATCCATACCTTGAGTCGTTGGTCTCTGTTTCTGTTTGGTTTCTGTTTTAATGATTTACTTTGATTGTGTTAGGTATTTCTATATACTACAGTCAGCAGTTTTTAAATACAAAAATGTTGCACGCCCTGAGAAAACAGGTGTCCTATTACACCCCTAGCTCCCCATAACGGCCACTTTCATCTGTCCCCAACGTGGCCGTTATAGAAGGATTTGACTGTATTGCTGGCCACTTCATGCTACAGAAACCGGGCCGGGCTCCGGACTGATGGGCCACTTGGCTCGTATGCAGACTTAACCTGTTTGCCCAAATTAGTATGGGATTTTCCCAGGCTACAAGGCATTGACACTTCAATAAAGTTTCTTTTCATGTATCTATATCTCTATCTTTTACCTTTTCGGTACCTCCTCAGAAACCGGCGAAGAGAAATTAAAACAGAAAAAGTTGGAACAAAACTAAAAATGCCCTTAATTAAATATCAACTATGTAGGTAGAAGTAAGTTAAAGCCAAGAATAGGAAAATAACTTTAAATGTAACACGGGGGCTAATAGTGCCGCAAAATACATTTTTGTTTTCTCTTTGGCGAAATACAAAGTTATACAAATACGGAAAACAGAGAAAAGGAAATGATTAAGGCTATACAATTTGGGGAAAAATCAGAAAAAAAAACTAGACAAGCGAAAAAAAAAACCTCGTGGAGATTTACGGGGAAGGAATTACTTAAGCCCAAGCCAGTTTAAGATTAATTCCTTGTTCGGACGCGGCCAAATCTCCACCACCCGGGGAGAGGTTATTCGCCCCCCAAGCCAGTTTGAGAATAACTACTGTACAATCTTTCTTTCCGCTTTCTCTTCGCCACTTCCTCGACTAGAGAGCCTGTTCTCAGGCTACCTCTATGAAGCAGCGTAATCCGAATCGACGACCTCTAGCGACCTTCGATGTATTGGTATTCCCGTTCCGTTGTACTATTTTTGGTTAACGAAGCTTTATCTATAGTTATTGCTTAAAACTGTGTTTTCTTGTGAAATGTGTAATATTAGACAGAGGTAGCTCGTGTCAATTATAAAAGATCTACTGGTCATGGGAAATCTACGGGTTTGCTCAAAAAGCACTTTGTCCTCCTTTCAGCTGCGGGAACAAAAACCCTACCCCGGGGCCACCCCGGGAAAAAAGAGATCTGCTGTGTAATGTCGCCGTGAGGGTCGAAATGCCTTCAGTCACGTGATCAAACTCAACTCGACGAGGAACCCGAGTGTTTACATCACCTTGAAGACAATTTTAGAAGACGTGAACATTTCGAGAGTTTAGATCGTCGGGGTTCTTAGATTTTATGCTGGAAGTGATGTCGGCAAAGTGTCGTAGATGACCAAAATTTATGCAAAGCGTCCATAAACTGTGACTATGCCGAACATGCATGGATGGGAATCGTGAGCCATGACTCAAAGAAAATCGGATATGGAATGTTGTAGCTATAACAAAGTGATTGGTGTATAATGCTTTTTACGCCGTTGAACTTGGTGGAATGCCGTTGTTTAAAAGGGAATTATATTAATTCCTACTCTGAAAGAGATATTTAGTACTTATTGTGACATTTCCGTGGTAAACGAAGACTTACAAAAGTTTACTTCTCATCTTAATGGCTCCTCTACAGTGGTACAGCTTGGTTTGGTTCGTGCTATGTTCGTGCCTGCCAACTTCACAGCCAAAATGCGGTGGAAGAACTGTTTTAACCGATTTACAGGGAACTATTCAGGATGGACCGTCTAAATATCCAGCCAACACGTTATGTGAATGGCTCATTAGAGGTACGTGAGTTTCAATGTTAGCTTTACGTATTAAATTTGTTTGATCGCTTCGAGGAAGCTGTAGGGAATAACGAAGCACGCGTGAACCCGGAATACTCCTGTTGCGTGCGTGTAATCCACCGTTCACCTTTCGAAGATATCTTCTGCATTCAACATTTGGTGGGAAAACAAACGATACACATGTTTTTAGCTACATGTACCTGACAATTAATGAGACATGTAGTCGCTGAAACGTTTGTGATGAAAAGGTGGTTTTGATTTTATTCCCCGGTATTTAATCGTGTTAAATTAAAACATTAGCAAGTATCAGGTTTAGTTTATGCTTATATCGCTAGCCAAAGTGAATTAATTTCCGACTGGAGGGTTATTTTGAGAATTATATTAATCATGCCACATTAAGAGGAAACGGATAACAACGTTGCATTAGACACTTTGAATTTGTGTCTGGATCCGAAGGTTAAATTAATTTACAGTTGCAAAATTGTGCAGCATTCTAATTCATTGTTTTGAAAACTTGATTCGTTGAGTCCAAATTATAGGGAAAAGTGCCAAAGTGAGTATAATTTTGTTGTCATAACACGTGAACCCGTTAATTGTCAGTGGCTTTAGTTCAATTAAGCTTATTTGTGGATGTTGGTTCTTCATATTGTTTAGTATAATACTTTTACTTTTTGGGAGACAGAGATTCCCTTCTCTTTCGCTTGGTGAGAGACGAGAGGGAACCTCTGCTCACAACTGTTCGATTTCCTATTGTGCATGCGCAAACCACGTCAGCATTTCGCTTGTGGTGTGCTTTGTCATGCGAAACGTTTGCACCCAACCAAATATTTCTAGTTTAATATTTTCGGTGAATCATGTACGTGAATTGCGACTTTTCCACTGTTTATTTGTGAGAGAAACTACAGAAATATTGTAAAGTTCAAAAAAGTACTGACCAATAAAAGAAACAGACAATTTAAACCAAAATTGGCTTCATCCAAGACCACAGTGGCACACTATCCAGTGTGAGCTTCGCAAACTGCAAGCCAGCTGCAGATAAACATACTTTTTTTAGATGAATTAGAACTTAAGCTTAATAACCTGCTTATCAACTCCTGTGTCATGCTCCTTTGACAATGAATAGCTTGTTAAGACGACTTAGTGTACAGCTCAATAGTTTCTGGAACTGTGCAAACAGCTTAAGATCACTTAAGATTGCCAGTTATTCATGCAACAAAAGTTTTGAATTTGATGCGTGTTATTGTGAAGACAAAGTGACTGTTTGCACAAACAACTGTGAAAAGTGGGAAATGACATATTCAAAATCTTCACTAGTGAGGGTATGGAAAATATGCCACTGAGGTCTTGGATCTATTTTTGAATGAATGTTATGAGTGGTGTATTTTCCAGTAAAACACTTGTATCATTACAATCAAACTGATTATGGATGTTCAATTCCATAACTCCTGGTCAAAATGGACCAAAAACCATGTATGTTACTGTTCAAAATTTTGGCCAAGATGCTAAAGAGATCAAGAGAATTGCACAAAGAATTTCTTTGAAAATAACAGCTAAACCTACATGTACTGAGATCTAGCAAGAACACAAAAAATCTTGGGGGCCAAAAACTTGCTGACAATCCCTCTGAGATGGGTAAGATCTTGGCTTAGATTTTCTATTGTTACCCACATGAGATCACAACATAATCATCAGGTCATAACTTGATGATGCTCGGCCAAAAGTGTTGAATCTATAACATTGCCAACAGAAATCGCGAGGTTAAGTTGACCTTGCATATGCCATGAGCCTGTATCATTGGATTATGTTGTACATGTAGGCTTACATAAACTGAGTTTGATAGCGCAGACTTGTGAACTATGTTGTAGTGTTTGTATTTTTTTCATTATATGGCTGTGTCTCACAAGGACTGGGAACTACAGAATTCACAAATTTGGTTGGCTGAAATCAATATTAACCACAGTCTAGATTTTCCGATCTAGACTGGCATCTAGCTAGACAAGTAACATTTTGCGGTGAAAAAGTTGCAAACTAAAATACAAATATGTTGACTATTTTCTTCTAAAATATTAGTAGAGGTGCCAAAAAACCTGATGAGGAAAAAAAAGTAAAGAGGTCGAACAAACTTTGGCAGATTTAAGTTTAGCTTATCACTGTTGGCAAGCGAAATGTCAGCTAGTACAAACCAGTTACATTGAAAGAATTAAAATTTTCTTGTTCATTTTGCTATATATTAATAAAACATCTTATTAACTGAGCTTAGTTGGTCTGTATGGGAGAATCTTGACCTTGGTCATGTGTACAGACCTCACTGCATTCAGTCTGTGCTCACGACCTCGGTCAAGATTCTCCCATACAGACTTCCTGCTCAGTTAATAAGAGCTAAGTCTGGAGCTGGATCATGGGTAGAGTAATGTTTCCCTGTAAATGGATACCTTCTTGCAGAGGAGTTAAAATACAGAAGTTCAAGTGTATTTTTATCTTTGTTGTTAGAAAACAATTTTTTGAGTTCTTCCACTTTCTTATCATACTGCTGGTCTTTATTTGTCAACAGGTCCATATCCCAATATTACTATTACATTAGAATTTAAAGAATTTATCACAGAATGTTCTTATGACTATGTGTTCATCCACGATGGTGACTCGTACCTTTCTCCTCTCATTGGAGCCGTCAGTGGAAAGAATTTGGTTCAAACAGTTGTGGCCCACTCAGGACAGGTAACTGTAGTTTTAAGAAGGGAAGCCTTAGAGCCGACTGGCTCATAGCAGCCGTAGCTTATCTTGGTTTCTGTAGCATGAAGCAGCTAGGAGTATTTCTACTCCCCCTGGATGGGATGCTAGTTCATCACAGGTCACTCCCCCGCAATTTGTTAGGTTTCCCCAACAATTCACTGGTACCCATTTATACTCCTTGGTGGAGAGAGGCACTGTGAGAGTTACATGTAAGTATCTTGCCCAAGAACAGAACACAGTATTCCTGGCCAGGGCTCGAACCCGGACCGCTTGATCCAGGGACAAGCACACAAACCACGAGGCAACTGCACCTCCACAACTGTAGTTTTACAAGGATGGAAATAACCCAGGGGGAGGAACTCCCATATGAAAAGGTTGAGGATGCTTATCATCTTGCTTAGTGGTATAAATCAAGGATACTGGTCTCATTTAGGGTGTTGATGACAAAAGAGCACTATTTTTGGCTGTCAAAGTATCTTTTAGGATGTCAAGGAAAAGGTTGTTGTCATTCATCGTGGTAGATGCCATTATAAAGTGTATTATTGTTTGTCTCACGATGTTGTCTCTTGAGATGTAGATCGCAACGTTTCAACTGCTTATTGCTAGTCTTCTTCAGGTGATAAGGTCGACTGATTGCACGGTATCATTTATATCACAAAGGTTGCCTGTGATTGGTGCATTTCGATCCTCCTATTGTTCCATTGTTCCAGCAAGTAGCTGTTCCCTCAGTGGTCCTCTGTTGTACCGTTCTCCTGTTGTTGTGTTTTTTGATCCTGAAGCATGGATGCCCATGATCAAAAAACACAACAACAGGAGAACGGTACAACAGCGGACCACTGAGGGAACAGCTACTCGCTGGGCAATCAGTCGACCTTATCGCCTGAAGAAGACTAGCAGTAAGCAGTCGAAATGTTGCGATCCACATCTCAAGTGAATACATCATGAGACAAACGATGATACACTTTATTATCTTTTAGGATGCACATGATGAAATAATAATAAAAGAAATGATCTTATTTCCATTTTTAGGCCTGATTTCCACTGGTCTCTCTCTCTCTCTTTTGCAGTCTCCTCTCCTTAACAGGAGCTGGAAGTCAAGCCTATGCCATTCTAAGTGGTATCTTTTAGGGGTCAAATAAAGCTCCAACCACGCCCAGATTGGTCTCCTTTAGGGGTTTAATTCAAATTTTCTGACGAACATCTCCGACCTTTTCATATGGGAGTTCCCCGGGGGTAAATAACTAAGCTCATTGACTGGGTTGGGAGAAGAGGGGGGATTGTCAGAGAAATGTTTGGCCTGGTGGGGTTGTGAGGTCCTTGCAAAATGACTAGAAGCCAAATACTTTTTAATTTCCTGTTCAGCCCAACCTGACGTAATCAACAAATACTTTTCATTGATTCTGCATTGATAGATATTAATTAAACTAGTAAATATAAATTACAAGTTAGAAAGTTTTAATTATTTGCACATGTTATGTTTACACTGGGGTAGTAACATAAACATTCTAGATGTATGTGTATTACTAGTACCACATGAACTAGTGTTCATGTGGTCAGAAACTTCATTGTTGTACTCTCAAGTCTCTTCTATTGTGTTTTATACATACAATGTACCGTATCATACATACAACATTAGTGACTGAGTTGTGGTGATGTCGCAATCAGATTGCCCACCATGGAGTACATGTGTATAATTTTTCATGCATCATGGCAAAAACAAAGACAGTCAAAAAGTCAGTTTTATTTAATAGTTTGTGTTTGATCTGGTATACTTTCAATATCAGTTTCTGCAACTAGCTTTATCCACTCAATGGGTGTTTTTTGCATGTGCCTATCAGCATGTGCCTATCATCATTGTTGTCTCCCCTTCATTTTTGGGCTATCAATCAAGAAAATTGGGAGTGAGCAATCCCTGGGGAATCTGACCTCCACAGGGAATGATTCTTGCTTTCTCTCTTGCAGATGTTGATCAATCTTTACAGTGACCTCAACTACACCCTTGAAGGTTTTGATGCTAACTACACAATAGAGAATTGTACCCAGGGATGTTCTGGTCACGGCACTTGTAAGGATGGCTTCTGCCAGTGTGATGATTTTAGGCGGGGCAAGGCATGTGACTTAGAAGCATGTCCATTACACTGTTTGGTAGGAGAAGGACGGGGTGATTGCAATGCAGTAAGTTTCTGATTTACTAATTGCTTTCTCACACTATCAGTGTGCAAAAATAACACAAAACTGCTAATAAATATCTGTATAACAAATTAATTAAAGAAAACATTATGGACATTCAGCGAGTAGGGACCAAAAAAAAACTTTCTGTACATGTAATAATGAAGTGTTCATGTAGATGTCAATTTTAGTAAAATTCTAAGCTTGACTCTAGAGTCCATTGGAATAAAAACAAAGGAGCTTACTTTCGACTATTATGGAGGGACCTTGATTCTAGCTGTGAACCTTATGTCTATGAGTTAGTCAAGTAGTGTTAAATTGTATATAGAGAAACATCAGGTCAGGTGAACACTTTATATTAGATAATACTGTTCACTATTATACGAGTATTTAATTAATTGAATGTTGCTCTAAGAAAGTAAATGAAATATATTTTGTAATATATTTTAATTTTTATACCATGCCATGGAAGATACAGCCAGTCAGAATACAGGAAAGCGGTTGTATACTCGACATCATTACATCCAACCTTCCCATCATGTGCGGTGCATATGTCGCTTTGATTGTGTTGGCCACTTTATTTTCAATGGCATGGTATAAAATAGTTATGTAATGCTCTCCTGTGGTATACCATCAAATATCCCACTTGTCACTGGTATTTTCTTGGTTTACACACAACAGTACAGATTGACAGAGCAGCTGGAAAGCTGTTGTATATGTATGGGTTATTGACCAAGTGTGAGGTCAAGATGGCTGGATATTGGCCAAGTTCTTTTTTTGCGAGTTCATGGACYGAGACGGAGTCGAGGTCCATAAACTCGCAAAAAAAGAACAAGGACAATATCCAGCCATCTTGACCGAACAAGCTTGGTCAATAAAGGATTTATTATATGGCTTTCAGAGAAATTTCTCTTGCGAGAGACGGCGGGTAGTCCTGAGCGGGCAAGATAGCTCCATCTTGCCCGCTTGGATAGCCAATCACAGCACAGGATTTGATTCATCGTGCCCGCTCACGGAGCTAGCCAAATAATAATTGACATTATTGCATCCAGCCTTCCCATCATGTGCCACTCATATGCCGCATTGATTGTGATGGTCACTGTATTTTCTATGGTATGGTATAAAATAGTTATGCAACGCTCTCTCGTGGTATACCATGGAATATGTATCCCACTTGTCATATGTATTTTCTCGGTATACACACTCACCCAAAGGCTCATGTGTAAACCAACAAAATTCAAGTGAATGGTGCGATATTCCTTGGTACACCACTAAAAAGCGTTGCATAACTAGTATATACTTGATTTCATTTGCAGTCCCACGGCCATTGTGTGTGTAACCCTGGCTTCATAGGAGAGTCTTGTTCTCTTTCTACACTGACTGATTCCAAATCCAATAACTGGTTCACAATTTCATCGACATCATCTGTTTTTAGCCCCAGAACAGCACATTCAGTTGTTTATGTTGAGAAAAGTGATACATTACTTGCATTTGGAGGTATGTACATTGTTTGGTTTTGGAAAAAAAACATTGATAACACTTTTGAGATTCTTGGAAGACATGTTTTGACAGTCTCCACTGTCAAAATGTGTATTGCAGATTTAGAATATAAATTAGAACCATATCACATATAGATATAGATACACAACGTAAACAACATAAAAGATACATTTAGTAAACTGTGCTAGCAAAAGGCATTTTCTCATTTATACCGATAGTTTTTGATACAAATTATAATTCATACATGTAGGTGGTAAAAAATGTTAGTAAATATTTTACTAGTCACAAGTGTTAGTTTTTATTGCCCAATTAAATTGAACATCACATTCAAGTTGTTTTGTGCGTATTAATTCAATCAGCAGAAATCTTGTTGGTATTTCTTGATTTAATCGTACATCGGAAGTAAGATCTGCTGTCTCTTTCGGCAATGTGCAGATTTAAAACAATTTCAACAAGTTTTCTGGTAATCAGCACGAGCAAAATATGTGAATGGTGATGTGCTTTGTAAATTGTGCCTTATTATAAGGGAGTAGCCTTTTCACAGAGAGATACTGTTAAGTAATATCTGTTCCATGAACGTTTAATTACTAACAGTGATTCCAGTGACAGTAATTAATGTATGGATTTCTTTTTGTAACAGACAGGCTATCATGATTTTTAGCAGAACTTTGAAGAACAAATTCTTACGAAATCTCTCATGGTAACTTTGTTACTCGCCATGTCTGTTTCAGGTTACTCTTTAAATAAAGTGTTGGATGATTTGCTGCAGTTTGATTTTACTACTAGTCTGTGGAGTGAGGTTCATGCCGGATCTCCTAAACCTGTGAGTCACTCAACTTTATCACGTTGGTGATTGAAATATCACTTCTCTATAATTCTGATTTATGTACACTTCTTTTAAGTTAGTTAAAATATGAGAATAATTGGTGGTGTATCAAAACAATATTTGCTACTTCATAATTCTTAAAAAGTTACAGTTCTGTAGTTATTCTCAGTACTTGCCTGTTCAAAAGTGTAGTATGTAGACAATGCTGTGAATGGAAATATAATGTTTATGGTTCTTGAGAATTAATTGAAAAGCTCTAAAAACAGCAATATCTAAATTTCATAGTTGCTTGTAAATCCTGCAATTTGCAACTTCTCTTTAGAAGTAATGATCTGCTCTGAAGATGGCAACCTCAAATGTACATTTCCATCTGTATATTAGTAATAAAAGAAAATCTCCAATGATCTCAATCCAACGACTTAGATAAAAAGAACTTATTACGTTATTAATAATAACAAAGATATATATATTATTAATAATTATGTGAAAGACAAGTATTTGCATATCTACAGTCTGTCTAGGTATTTATTACAATAAGTGTTTTTCATTTGGGATAATAGTTTGAAGTAATCTGTCTGCAGGTATCTTTGCAGTCTAGAGGTAATTTATCTTCCCTCTCAGTCTGTAGTTACTAGTAGATAGTATTCTACCCAGAAGCAGTGAGTGTCTAAAAGGTTTTGAATCTCAAATTACAATGCAGTGACTGGTGTCTCTTTTAGGAATATGACATAAAGGCTGCTGCTTCGGGGCTTGAAGCAGAACAATTTTACATTATCTTTTTTCTTTCAGGTTGGGCGTTTTTCTCATACTGCAAACCTGTATCTTGATGCCATGGTGGTGTTTGGCGGAGAATTACAGGATGGCAACCTCAGCAATGGTCTTTGGCTCTATAACTTAACTCTCAACAAATGGACAGAGCTTGCTGTAAATGATATTGTTAAACCACCTCCTCTTGCTGAACACAGCGCCACTGTGGTGGACGATATACTTTATATTTTTGGTGGTGAGTTTCAAGTTATATGTACCTTCAGATTATGAATCTTGAATGATGAATTTTTTTCAGAAGGAATTATTAAAAGCCAGATCTACATGTATGCATATGTAAGGAGAATGAGAGTTGACAAAAGTTTGGCTTTTTGAATCGTACTTGCCAGTGATCAAAATCAAAGATGCTGACTGAATGCTCAGTTTAGGTTAAAATAACAATTTGCGGATCCAGGGTTGTCAAACGTTTTGAAGTTGGCAGGTGTATTGTTGGAGTAAGTGGCTGATTTTGCCCATTTTTAAAGAATCAGACAAAAAGCCCAGTAGAGATTGTTAGCTGAGATTGTTAAGTTATTTATCAAACATGAAAGAGTGTAGTGATAAGTTAATAAAGATGGTGAATTTTAAGCTCGGTAATGAAATGTGAAGGTGAATTAATCAGCATGACACGAGCGTGGGACAAAGAAAAATT